CTCTCGCTACGCAATAAATACAATATAATACAGGATGTCCGCCGGCGCGCGGACCCATTTTTCTCGCTAAACATGAAACAGAAATTAGGCCCGCTCGGTTTTTCCGTTTCTTCCCTTTCCGGCGCGTAGACACTGGGCAACGGAGGTGCTTCGTTCGAATTCTTCTCGACTCTCTATAGATACCTGTGCACGAGAGATTTTCGTTACCGATCGAAACGGCAAATTAACACACTGGAACGTACCAGTGAAACGCGTTCAACTAAATCAAGTGAAATTTAACTGGGCATCTCGATTTAAAACAATACCGGTAGGCGAATTGATTGTAAATTCTGCACGCGTGTCGACTAGACGTCTCAAGTGCGATTTCTTTTCACTTGTTCCAGTTGAAACGACCGACTCGCACGATTTCAGCGCAATTACATCCCCGACTTGGAAAATTCGCTCGTGGAAAGATTACTGGACAAATTACGGTTCGTGCGACTGCGTTCTGTCGTTGCTGGCTTCGTTAACAGTGCCCTGTTACGCCTCGCTTGTCGATGGTACAGTTACATTTTTCCAACGGCGCGTTACGGTTCAAACTACGACAGCGCGAATACGGAAGAATCGAAATCAGGTAATATATTCGATCGTTCCAAAGTTTTCTTTATCTTATGAAAAATCTGCGATACAATGCCAATAGAAAGACGGACGTGATTTTTGCGGTGAGAATCGATCCCGGATCGATTTCTTCGGTTTCTCGACGCTGTTGATCGTTCCGTCGATAAAATTCTTTCGAAATAATCGCGTGCCATCCGGCCGGGGATGGTTTCTATAAATTAATGAAGTGTCTGTATACACAGGTGTGCGAGAGTTCCCTTGTTCAAACAGAATTCCATGGATGCTCGGTTTTCCCCGTGTCTACGTCGCGTAACGCGGATTCTATCTGCTCCTTTAATGCCTCTCGTAAATACCTGCGCCTTCGTCGAAAAGTTTATATCCTCCGCACAGGTGAAATGGTATCTCGGAAATGCTCGGCGAGAAGGCCTCGCCTCCGTCGACGCGTTAAAACGGAAGAGGTCTCTACGATATCGAAAATATTATCTGTCGCAAGAGGCGGGTTTCGAGAGTCAGCTGGGACCGTGATTATTTGGCAGTTTTTCATTTGACAAAACCTTTACGAATACATTCGGTTGCACCGGAAATCTCTAACGAAGCTTTTCATCTGATCGGTGGTAATCGGTAGTTATCGTAATTCTAACAGAACATTCGAATCGGATGAAAGTTACTCTTTTCTTCGGTTAAACTAGAAAATCCGACGATAGCTTGTACAAGAAAGAAGAGCTACCCGATAGCGTGTAACATCGAAGAATGGTAAAGTAAAAGTATTCTCTTGCGAAACAAGTGGTACAGATTTGCGAGACAACCGAAGATTAGCTTCGAAAGAACAGCTACGTTAATTTCCTCCGCTTTCCCCGTTCGTTCCCATTCGCCAGACTCTCAGTCTTTGCTCTTTCGATAGAAAAAGAAAAAAAGGTTCGAAAATTTCTCAGCCTTGTTCGATCCATTCCCGTTTCACCGTCGTCGCGTGAATCGCCGACACAAACGCCGTTCTTCTTTGTACTATACCATCCCCGACTACGCGTGTTCATCTCTTCGACGAACGATCGATCCATGATCTACGATCCCAACATTCGGATTACTCATCCTTACACCCGATCCGTGACGAGGGTAGCCTTGAATCTGGTCCTCGTCGATTTCAACGGAATTACAATACCAGTTTTCCGCGTAGAGAACAGAACACGTTCGGATAGGACCAAAATGATTTATTCCTGATGCGTTCTTTTTGCAATTATTATTGAAAGTGCGCAAAGACAATGGTAAATGAACGGAAATCTCGATAGAAAAATTTCAAAAGGAGAAATCTCGATAAAAGCAGAGATTTGTATCCGATCAGGAAGAAGTCCAGAGATTCTAGACACCCGTTTTACGCCGAGAGACAATGATCGTTCGGAGGATCAACGGGAAAAGAATGCAGCCAACTGTTCGGCAACGTTGAAAGAAAACGTTCCCGAGACGCGAATGGTAAAGAATGAGATTTAACGAGACACACACCGATCGACAGGGTAGATCAGCAATCCGAGACGCAGAGCTGTTGGTCCGAGAACTCGGTCTGGCTCGAGGGGCTTTCGTTTCTCGCCGCGGCACCGGCAACATGGCCAAGGTGGCCAACGTGGCGTCGGTAGCCTACGACTTCTCGTCCATCGAGCTGGGCAGGGGTCTCTTTTTCAGGATGCCCAGGTCCTGGACGTTCTCCAGGAAGGTCTTGTGGTGCTGGGCGACCAGGAGCGGGTTCACCGTCTGCACGTCCTTCTTCAGCTCCTCCATGTCCCGCTTGAGCTTCGCCCTTCGGTTCTGGAACCACGTGATCACCTGCGCGTTGCTCAGTCCCAGCTGAGCGGCGATCTCGTCCCTGTCCGCCGGGCTCAAGTACTTTTGGTAGAGGAACCGCTTCTCCAGCTCGAAGATCTGTTGGTTCGTGAACGCGGTCCTGCTCTTGCGCTTCTTCTTCGGCTGCTGACGGTTGTTGAACAGGTTCAGGTGATTGGCTTGCTCTGGAACAGTAACGGTAACCGAGGAGATTAGAACGTGGCCGCGGACAACGCTCGCTAATGAGATTCACGCGTCGCTCGACGGACTCTGGGCTGATGAAGGTTTGCCCGAGGATTAATCTGATTTCAGGATCTACTCGTGGGAAGGCCGAGGGCCTTTCGGATAGCTCCTTTGCCGCGACCGATGCGCATTTCGTATCGTTCGAGTTCGATTTCGTTCTCTGGAATAGATAGAACGGTTACAGCCGTTGAAAATCTAGTTTCTGTCTCGAGGGGATTTTCAAAATGTCACGCATAGTTGTTCCCCGCGCTGTTGCGGTTGCCGCTGCGAGGCCGTGTTTATCGCTGTCCGAAAAAGCCGCCCGAAGAAAATGATTATGCGGGATTAATAAAGAAAGGAGAACTCGGCGAGAAGCCGAGTCGGACAACGCCGGGGCAATAAAGTGGAACAGCTGGAAATAAAAGATAGCGGCACAAACGTAATTTCTGAGTCATTGTAGTGATATCCCACTTTCCCAAATTCCTCGGCGAAGCTAGAAGCTAGAAACGCCGTTGATCGCGCGGTAACTTCCATAAATACGCCTTAGATCTGCCGGCGGGCCGATTCTAATATCGAAATTTCTTAATCTCCGAACGAGAGGGGATAGAAGAGGAGAAATGCAAAACGAATCGGACATCCCCGGGCGTCTTTGAATAACCCGGGGCCCTGGACGGTCCCCTCCGCCGACACGGCCAGCTCCGAGCCACAAATCAGATGCATTTTCGAGCGACGGAAGGGATCTCTCCATAAAAATCGTATTACCTATTCGTTACGGTGCTCGGCCCGTGGAATTCCGGGACAGCTTCTTGCCCTAGGGACGCCAAAAGACCCGGTTTTGTTTTCGACGGGCCGCGAACCAATTAGAGGATAAGAGTATCGCGGGTATCGTCGCTGAATAATTAATCCGTTCGAGACCGAGCGCATACCCGAAAACACCGCGAAAACACCGCGAAAACACCGCAGTTACACTGTACCGAGGAACTACTGTTACTTTACTAGCCGATGGATAACATTCTCGAAGGAGTAACCTAGAATTAAGATTATCGGTATTACAAAAAAATGTCAACGGTAACGGTGAAAGTGATGATTTCCGGTGTTGGCTCCTGGGGACCGTCGTTCAAAGAAATCTTACTCTCGAATGAGTTGACGGTAAAACTACCGAGCTGGAAAATTGGCTATTTTGTCTTGTCTCCTCGTGGCTTTACCCTCGCTCGGTTGTACACGAGTCGATTTCTCGATCGACTTCTCGGGAGATGATCCGTTTTCGATAATCGCGAACGAAGAGATTCGGAACGGCTCGCTTCGACCTGTTTGGTAGTTCTAGCGTCCAATTTCTACTCGGACACGTGTTTACGAAACAAGTTATTCCTCGAAGAGGAATCAGTTTTCAATAAGAAAGAAAGGTTTCTTCCGAAGCTTCTCGAATGAAAAGGAATTGCTCGAGGGAGAAAATGTGGGTTAAGAAGAACGACTCGAACGGTCCGTAACTCGGAACGGCGAGTGCTCGACTGCCTAATGCTCGATCGGTGTCCGCGCGCGATCATTGTAAGAAAACTTTAATTGGACGACAGCTTCTTGCCACGGGACACTGGAGCCCGTTCGTTCCCAGATCCTCGAAGGTTCGTCGTGGCAATTAGCCCGATCGTGTGTCGTTGAATAATTAAGCGGAATCCGAAGATTCTGCGCGAGAGAGGCTACTGTTACACGCGTTCGGATCTGTAATTAATGTCGAACAAGCATCGTCGCGACAAAAAAGAAGCTAATGGGATTACGGATCCGCGTTTTAAAGACCCGAAGACCTCGCGTGTTTCGAAGCAATTAGGAGATCGCGCCGCGGAGTAATTAAGAAGAATGATTCGAACCCGCCGCGTATGCGTGTCGCTCGCATCCAGGACTTTTCTAATGCACAATCGAAGCTCGTTTTCTAATGGTTTCCTGCGCGGAGCCGAGCGCCGAGCAATACGGAATCATCGCGAGAGAAATCTCGCGTGTAATTGGAGGACAGTTTGTTGCGTCGGGGTCTCCGTAGAGAACGGTAGCTCGCCGCGTTCAACGTAATTAAGCGGTCGCGCGGCCTGATCGATCAGGGAGAACGGTTCGACTCTCGGATCGCGATCGTCGGCACTATTTCCGCGCAGAGGTTTACGGAAGTTTCTTCGAATCGTTTCATCGAACTTTTCTATTATTCTTATGGCTAACTTATTATGAAATCGATAGACAACTACCTCGAGAGTTCTATCCACCGCGTCAAAGTTCCCACCTATTTGTATCCACGTTGCATTCGCGGTTGATTATCGTCGGAATAAATAACAAGAATCGAAGGGAATTATTAAGAACGTGGAAACGCGGCGGACGCTTGCATGGTCGATTTCATTGACGATTCAGCGATGCCGTCGACCGATTGTTATCAATGATTGTTCCCGAGCGGCGGAAAGCTAATTGGAGGACGTCGCGCCAACGACAAGAAGCATCCCGGAAAACGGAGGCGGAATTCGCGATGGCGTTAGCCATTAGGAAATAATCGAGCCGAATGACGAAAAAGAGAGGCGGTCGATGAGTCGGGGACAAGGTAGCCGAGGGAGTCCCTCCAGGATCAAAGAGCGCCGCCATCGGTCACACCTGCGCAACCCGAGTGTACAGTCCCGGTCGAAAGCTAGCCACCGCCGGCGAACAATCAGCCTTACGTAGCGAACGTAGCTCCTTCTCACGTTCCGACCCATTGAACGCACTGATCGAAACGTCTTTCTTTCGCGTTTAGTTACAAAGTGCTCTACCAGGCTCGTCGAGATTTTCAGCCGATACTAACGCATCCGACAGGTTGTACTGTTTCACTGTTGCACTGGCAATCTCGCGATCTTTCAAATCTGAAATGAACTTGTACGTTTCGTATCTTTGTATTATAGAGAAACGTTCAATGTATCGACTACTATGTATTCAAGTTGAAAACGATCGACTACTCGATCGTTAAAGCTATACAAGAAAAACGGAGGCAGCTATATACCTGTGAACTACGATAGCGACGATGATTTATACATAACCGGACAGCGGAAGTTCGCGGGGGCAGGCGTTTTCCCCGAGAGGCTGAAATTACCAATTAATTTTCCTGCCGAACGGTTTCCGCAAATTCAAAGTAAAATGGAACAGTATTGAGCATGATTACAAGTTTACGTTGCATTAATATCTCGACGATTCTTATACCCCATAAATGATTCAATTTCCGCACTCGATACACACGTGGATACGCGTACGTAGATGGGCGTAGATTGCAAACGCGTCGTTATCGTGCCGATAGAACGCTGGCCAGGGACCGATGGGAGAGAAAAATGGCCGAAGATTCGCATAGGATGAATCGGTAATAACTCAAAGAGGAAATCGAGGAACGGTCCCGATCCCGAGCCGCTTAATTCTATGTAAATTAGACCCCGAATGAAGCCAACCTCGATAAATCGTCGGGCGATTTCCGTGGTCGAAAGAAGGACGCTCTATCCACGGAGAAGATGGAAGATGGAGGATGGGAAGGTTTAATTAAATCCTCCGTGGCGCGTTCTGCCAGGCGAAACCCGGAACGGGACGTCTCGCGATTCGGAAAAGAGACACCTAGGAATTATCGTCGTCCCGGCGGAATTTTGCTCGTATAGCGGAATATGGAGAACCCTTTAATTACAAATTGCATCGCTCTCGCGTCCTCAAGCCCAGCCGCGATTTCATCGTCACTGGGTACGTTACGTGTTCTAGGAAGTTTCGCAGACAGCGTCGACACCTGTCGGTCGAGTCGCGTTCGTTAGCATTGCTATTGCTGATCGGTCGCGAATGTCGATTAACGTAACGCTTCCTCTGGTGCAAGCCGATTCTCGAGGTTGCCGTTGCCAAGTTGGATTCCCGGATGGATCGCTCGTATCGAACAAACGCTTGTCGCTCGATGTAAATAGACGGCGTAGTTATTTCGATGATGGACGAGCGATCCGGGCTTAAACAAATTTCATTCTCGTCCCTCGATTTACGACGCAACAAGACTAGACGCTCGAGTCCGAGGGTAACGATTCTAACCGCATTTTCGCCGGTAGTTCCGACAGCTATCGGCCGGATAATATCTATTACGATCTATTACGGCGACGAAGATTGCTCCGCTAACGGTTCCACGGTGGCGCGCCGGTGAGACGCGAGAGGCGGTCGCGGCAGGCAACGCGGGCAACGCGGACGGCAGATTTACGCCGAAGCTTGCACCTCGTTCGCATTTCCCGGGCGGCGGCCGTTTTTCGCGGTGGACACACGTTCGGAACGGCTTTCTAAACCGCGCCGGAAACGACTTAATTACCGGCCGGGGGAAATTTAATGCCCGTCGAAAGCGCTATTACGTCGCCGTAAAACACGCGGATCCATCGTCCATCCCGGCTGTTTATATCTCCGGCGATCCCGATTATTTTTTGCCCGGCCACGGAACCGTCTAATTGTACGCGGGTTTTAGCCGGCGCACCGCTCGGGACAAGTGTCAGCTCTAATTACGACCGTCCCAGCTCGTTTACCTCGGAAATTACATCTTCCCGGTGCCACTTGATCGTCCATGGATCGGAAAAACCTCGGAGAGGAATCGGAGAAAAATCGGACGCGCGGATCCTACGACCGCCAAAGTCGCGGACGGTTCCCAGGCTGAGGATTAAAACGAATTCGAGGTATGCGCATGCTACGTCCGGGAAGATGGCCCGTTCCTTTATAACCTTTTCGCTCTTTCGGGCCCACCATTTTCCGCTAACTGTACCGCCACTTTTCCCCTCGCAACCGGTCAAATAATTGGCTAGAAAATAGAGGTAAGCAAGTTAGACGATGCATACTTCGAGTGGAAACGGATTAATCGAACTGCGTAGTTTCAGTTCGGTCATTTGACGACGTATGGTTTAATGATTTTTTCTGTTTCGTCGAGCCATAACGCCTTCCGCGCAAGAATCAGCTGTGTCATCGAAAGACC